AAATGACGATAACTCCGTTGTTATCAACACAAAACTATTACTGCGACATATCATCTGTTGGAGAAAAAGAAGTTATTTGAAACTACACACAGAAAAAAAATTTCTTCGAATGAGAAAACCCATTCTCTTGAAAATTCAATTGTATATCTTCTTTGAATTGAGCATATTCTTTTGAGTCGAGAAATCTGGTATGTTCAAGAAAATAGTGTCATATTCTTGAAATATATTCTCAAACCAAGAATGTAATTATTGAATTACTAAATTAATTACTTCAACTCAATCAAAACGATTTTTCAATTCGCAGAAGCGTACTATTTTGTTTCAATAAATTTATTGCTTGATCCAAGAATATAAGTATAAATTTCTTCAAATCAAAGAATGTCCATTTCATCGAATGACATATTCAGTTTTCTTGAATTGCAAAAACCTAATATGTTGAGGCAATACGCCATTTTCTTGAAACAAAAATATAAATAATTATTTCTTCAAATGAAGCATCCTAATTTCATCATATTGGTAATATAATTTCATCAAATCGAAGACTCCTGATAGTTTTATTCAATGCCATATTTACTTGATTCAAAGATATGAATATCAATATTCTCAAATGAAAGGAATATAATATCTTCAACTTGATGAACTTGATGATATTGATAATTTCTCTAATTGAAAAAGCCACATTCTGATTCAATACTTCATTTACTTGATTCAAGTCTATGAATAGGTATTTCTTTGGAAGAAAATAATATGCCCTCGGAAATCAAGGGTAAGCAATCCTGTTGCCAAAACTCAGGCCTCAGTCTTCAATCATTATTGACCATGCTCACATCATTATGACAGGCCCACAACGGCGAGACGGCATTGAGCTGCGAAGTTTGAAAATTCTGAATGTTTTATCGAGTGTGTATAGGTGGAAATGTCTTAGAATATAAATATCTAACAAATGCAGAACTTGTAGAGAGCTGGTGAAGGTATAACATCGAATTCCCTTGGTAAGTAGGTACCTTTCCAAATATCGATAGTCATTGTGAGTGAGTCAACAATTTTTCAATCAAAATAACAGGGATTGAGTAGTATCCTGCTATGAAAATATGCTTATTAATTCATTCGAAATTATTTTTGTAGCAAAATGACGACTGGTTGATGAATGAAGAAGTATTATCTACAAATGACTTGCAAAGACTTGAGAAGACTTTGAGATTAGGTGAGAGCAAGTTTCCTGCCGAGTATCTCGAATCTATTTACCCGATATCTTCCAGAAGGCATGACATTACTGGAGTCACGATATTACATATTATAGAGGTGAGCTTTTAATCAATCATAATACTTATGTCATTGTTTGTAACCGTTATCATTTTCAGCGAAACTGCAAGACGACGAAATCAAGGCATGTGATTATTCTATAACCATTTGGGGTCTTGATGGACAATATTGATCCAAGATGTACATACCTATACATGGGATTATTGTCAACTAAAGAAACAAATATATATTTCTCCACGAATATTCTGTGGAGTTTAGTTATCTCATTGGGAATCATTCACAGTTTTGAATCAAAAACATTATTATATTTTTATCCAAGCAGTCGATATTTTGATACAAGAAAATAGTTCCATTGGAGAGAATGAGCTCAATATTCATTATAAAGAACTTATAAATTCAGATCGAAAATATCAATGTGTTCATTGAAAATTTACGGAATTTTGACTTAAATAAATCGTTCATTTTGAAATGAAATAGAACAATTCTCAATAATAGTAATCCATAGTTGCAAATTGAGAAAATGATTGTTTTCATTTGGTGGATGGATTCCATATCTCAAAATTATGGTTTTCCTGAAATAAGTAAATGATTTTGTCAATATGAATTATTTTAATTCTCACTTCAACATAACAAACGTCTCCAACCATGCATATCTTGATTTTCCTACAAGAGAGTTGTTGAATAAATCATTGTTTCGGAAGAAGAATATCATCTCTTTCGTTATATACAAACAAATTATTTTCTTGGACCAATGCAGTCATGCTCAATACAAGAGATTCTTTTTTTGTGTGTAAGTCATAGTGAGCTATGACCTACATTTGAAAAACTAAAGTTGGTGCTGATATCTCAAATTCTAGAAGAGTTAGTATAAATTTCATATTTTCTTCGAAATCACTTCGAAAAACTGCCCTGAGAAGGTGGAATTCCTATTCGAATATTTTCATAAATAAAGAAGTTACGGGGAAGAAATGAAAGTTATCAAAATCTGTTTTTTGCGTATAAAACAAAAACGAATTGATTTTATCGAAATATTTTTTCACATTATAGTTGGCCTCCACATTTGGTGTCATTTAACCGACCTCGTATCTCTCACCGTTAAAAAGATACCCATGGTGAGCATGGTAAGTGGGACACACTGTATAATCATGAAAACGTTTCAAATTGAAATGAGCTGAGGAACCACATCCTTTATATATCACACCCTGAATGTACAACGTATAATGATAAGTTCAAGGTGAAACAATAAATGCCGTTCTTTCCCTATTTTCAATTGAAACTCATGTTATGTTATGTTACTGATGCTTCTCCGGAAAAAAGGAATAATTCAGCTGCGACCCCTTCTTTGTAATCTCACAATATAAAATTTTTTCCACACTACACTGTTTTACCATCAGTATAAACAAACCAATTGTGTAAACGCCTCGACACGTGTTTCGCTAACTATGTTAGCATCTTCAGGAGAAGAATAAAACTCAGTTTCTTCAGTAAATCGCGCACTGTTGTACTTCAGGCAAGATATCATGATAACGTAGGAAACTGAGAATAAGTGTCACTCCGCACATCAATGCGCGAACCTTGTAATTTTTTGACGTTTGTATAAAGAGATCATTATTTGGAAAAAAAGTTGCAAAATAGTAATTTTCCTAACAAGTGCGGAAAGTGATTTTTTCCCGCACGCGCCTGCCGTTGACACGAACGACGCGAGTTCGGGCAAGCAGGCGAGTGCGGGAAAGACACTTTCCGCATGAGTTAGGAACACTATTTTTTCTACAAGCGTAGGAAATTGATTGATTCGTTCAATTAATTATTCAAGCAAATAGAAACAACTAAGAAGAGATATATATTCTCTATCTACTAATTATTAGTAATAGCCATTGTGAACTTACAGTTTGACGCATCATGTTGGTTCATTGCGGAAGCCAGCAGGCCCATTAGTAGTTTGGTCTCTAGGTTTCAGACACTTCTATGAAATGAGCCAAAAATACATATTCTTCATTCGGTATTTCCATTTCTTCATTGTTGCACCATTCAATAAAACGCGTGTATTGCTTCTCATACCATTCTTAAGACTTCGTTGGTGATAATAACGCATCTGTATCGAATCCCTTTAGCTATAGAAGTTTTTGATCACATTGTGGCATTTCCACTGAATCGAAAATGACAGTAACGCTGTGTCTGTCACTTCGACAATTTCAAAATTTTTTGAGGTTTGATTGGCATGACAACAATAACCGTCTCCCGTCAGATCAATCCGAATCTATAGGGGGATTTTTATAATAATCAATTTTTATTTCTCAATATTCCTTAATTTTTACAAGAAATAGTGCAATTCGATGGATGGTTCTGAACATACATTCTTAATACTGCATCAAACAAACTTAAACTTTTATATTCCATCACCAACCACTTATATTATTAGCGATTTTATCATATCTTTGTTTTCCCGCACTAGTGTGGGAAAATTTTTCCGCACTGTTGCGGGAAAATTACACTTCCCAAACTAAATTGCGTGCGGGTATAGGGTGAATCACTCACGCTTGTAGAAAATATACCAGCCAGTCTCCAGTCTATAACCTATTCGCTGATGATGAAGCTTTGAAGATTTGAAACATGTCCCCTAATTGTTAATAGTATATTATTCAACGAGCGCATAATGATGGCTATTACCCACGAAGATGAAAGTTGTAATCATCTGAGTGGGTAATAGTCATTATGCGCAAGTAGAATACTATACTTTATCTACAACTATTCAAATATCAAAGCAACTCTGAGAGTTCAGAAATATATCTTTGAAAAAAATGAAGGTTATATTATATTGCAAAATCACTAAATCTGATTTTAAATACTCATTAATTCCATCGAAAATTTATTGACAAAGATTCCATTCAACGAACAGCTTATAACTCATTTCAATAATTTTGATTGTGAAAATTTGATAAACAATGTTGGATATAACTTTTATTAGCAGGAAAAAAGTCGTGCAATCACATATCAGTCAATCTTACCAGGTATTATATGATATTTCACTTTTTAGTTGTAAAATGAATCATAATATACTATTGCAGATTATTCATTTTTTGCTTTTTTAGCGTTCCCCCACCGCGATGATTGATTGTAGTACCCTGTCTCTAGAAGCTAGTTATCAACAATGAAATTCCATGGTTCTGATTGGTCTGTACTAATCTATTCCAATAGCCTGTAGCCATATTAGTGTTAGTGTGTGCCTTAGATCATACAGGATCTAAGGGTGAGCAAATCTGCAAGTGGCAAGTCCTATTTTATGGTTATGGTTACTCATGATGGTTACTCATGATGATAGTCACTGTTGAGGATGGAAAACAGTGAATTCTTATTTTTCCGTGTATTTGTAGAATTAAGATGTTTAAAACTACGAGAACAATGGTACGGTGGATTTGCGAACTAATAGAACGAATACCTACCTAGTTGAATATGACAAGACAATGGGATGTCAAATTATCACGCCACCCTACTGTCATTATTACTCTTATTACTCGATTCATCACAATAATGACTGCCATTAAATGTCGAAAATCGAGTAAGCAATGTATGAATGACTCCATAGTTGTAGATAAAAATGAATTATGGTTCCGGTGGAATCGATTGTTAGATTACCTTCTTGATACCCTATCATCATCACTCCAATGTATGATGGATCTTCTCAAATGATTGATAATAAAAATTTTTTGAAGTGACACCTCTGTTGTTTTGTTTTACAGAATTACAAAGAGAAAGACGCCGGAAAAGTGGTGGTCTACACGACAACGATGGGTGTCCTCAGGACCACATACCAAGCATGCATGAGAGTCAAGCAAATCCTCAGGTTGCTGATGGTCAAATTCGAAGAACGCGACGTTTTCATGAGCTCAGAATATCAGGGCGAGATACAGGAGCGCATGCGCACGGAACACGTTCTGGTTCCACAGGTGTTCGTAGATGGCGTCCATGTTGGGGTGAGTGCAAATTTTTTAAGTACCCTTGATTATTCTCGAACCATCCTTATGAGAGCAATGGAGCCAGAAAGTTTATTCAGTAGCGAAGGGTAGAGATCGGTAATGAATCTAATATCCGAATTAGATGAGTATAATGTTATCAGCAAGTATCAAAACGGTTTATGCCTAGGTAGATCGACAGAAAGCGCTGCATCAGTATTCCTGGAGAATATCTATAAAGTTGTATTGATAAAGGAAACCGAAGCTTTCGACTCCATTGACTTCGATTTACTTGCTGATAAACTCTATATTATAGGTATTCGTGGAAAATTCCTGGCTTGGATCATATCCCACATAAAATTTAGAAGAATATTTTTTAAACGGCAAGATTCGAACTCAGAACTATATGATTTAGATATCGGTGTACCACAAGGATCGGTGTTAGGGCCTCCATTAATTTTACTATAAATTAATGATCTTCCACAATATATGGGAGGTACATCAATCATATTATTTGCTGATGATACCTCAATATCGGCAGAAGCTGACAGCCTTGTGCAGCTTCAGTCCAAACTGAATATCATAGGTGAAAGATTTACTGCATGGTGTCAGAGTAATAGAATGATGGTTGATACCTAGAAAACTGTGCTCATTCAGTTTTTTCGTAGGAAAGCTACGGATTCACCTATTTCTGTGAATATTGATGATATTACTGTACACCCTTCGAGAACAACAAAGTTTTCAGGTGTATATATAGACACCGAATTGAAATGGAAACATCATATCAACTATGTATGTAAAAAAATCAATAGTAGTTTGTATTCTCTACTGCAGCTCGAAAAAGTTCTGGATATGAATATTCTTGTCGATGTATATTATGCAATGGTGAACTTAGTACTTTCCTACAATAATCTCCTGTGGGGTAATGGTACAACGATTGATCGGGCTTTTATTGGCCAGAAACGCATAATTCGACACATAATATATGGTCTGAAATATACTTCACCATTTTGATGTCATTTACGTGAAGAAAACACGAATCCAAGGTCGAAACAAATGGAAATTATCATTCTTATCCTACAAGGAGCGGTGATTTTTATTGAGGTTGAGACAACACCGCACCCACATTTTTCAAAAGTCACAGTGCACAACAGGTCCGAGGTGCTTCGATTCTCTGCCCTCAGATATAAAGGGAATATCAACTTTCGCAAAATTCAAAATAAAAATTTAAGGATCATCTGCTGGACAGAAGTTTCCATTCTGTGTAGGAATTTCTGGAGACAAAAATCTGAAGTAAGGTGATTGTATTTTTGAAGTGTTGTATTTTGAATATTCACCTCCAATCATTGTTTCTGAATGTTTTGCATGTTTGAACCATTTTATCTTCATGTCCATCATTGAGTATTCAACTAGTGTATATAATCAAGGTGTCAATGTATCAACTTTTATGTGTTTGTATATTCTATTTATAATCATTTCAAACAACTTTTTTTTTGACCATTCCTTTATCATTTTTTGTATGATCAATGAAAGGAATAAATACATTCTCACAACACTTCGAGTTGTCAGATTTCCTCAAACGATGGGACAGTAATCGGTAGTTGCGTTTTATTCCATTCTGGTTGTGTTGGTGGGAACAGAATGACGTTTACAAATACAACGAGAAACTTCCTGCCTCGCATGAGATAGTTTATGTGATGTATTCAGATCGAATTTATTATTATATACCTGAGTGCCTCACTGTGTATGTTTGAAGTGTCAGCTGTCATCCGGGACACTTTTAGTTCCTAGGAGTTGAAATTCAACTCCTAGACACAAAAAGTGTTGCCAAGCAACATACATACTGATTATTGTGTCAGTGAGAGAAACGTCGAGTCAAAGAGCTTATTTTGAAATAAGAATGGACGACTTTTGAGTCGATTACAAAAAAAATATTATTACTTCCAATTCAACTGCGCAGTTCAATTCATTCAACAAAGTTCGAGCGTTGGTATGGAAATGCACGTTTGAATTTACTTATACCAAATATTTTGACAGTTGTTGACGAAATGAAAATATGACGAGGATCTGACACTGAATAACCTTGCTATTTTCATATACCTATGCCCTACTGTTTTCTACAAGTTGCACTATCTGTTTTTTTTTCAGCACTGAATGCTTTTTGTCTTTGTTCATCGTTTGTAATCATTCAAGAGAAGATATACAATGAGTGCATTATGTCAGACCAGTGAAAAACGGTAGTAGTTCAGAAATATCAAATTCGGCAGCGAAGTTATACTTCGAGTACTGATGTGTAGAGAACGCGAAGTACTCTCTTTGCGTACGATTACATGTATAGTATATTTTTTTATGTAAATATCTGAAAATATGTGGAAAACTGGGAAATACGAGAAAATCATCATATAAAAGAGCTGAAGTGCTGAAAGAAGTAACTCATTCCAAATCGAATGAGTACCCATATATTCGATTCCGACTATTCCTATGACACTGAATTTCTATAAGAGTATATTGCTATATTTCATATCCTTTTACTCTTCAAAGGCACAATTTGGAGACTAATTATCTAACTCTATAATATATAGAAACACGATCACGATATACATACTGAATGAAATGAGTTATTATTGCTTTAAGGCTGTTTAAGGTCATGTGTGTTCCAAACACGTGATCAAGCATGCACGGTGACGACCGTTTTCCATTTTCTGATTGAACACGAGCCACTCAATCTTCCTACACAGATTTTCACAAGTATCAATTCGGTAGTTGAATATAGTATCCGTATGATGACGTAACACAGTTTGACTTTTATTTATCTATACTAATATAATGGAGAGGAAATATTTGTGTTTTTTTGTTTTTTTGTTGGTTTGTCTGTTTGTTTGTCCGTATTGAATAGGCTCCGAAACTACTAGACCGATTATAAATATTCTTTCACTATTGGAAGCCTTCTTACTACGGCAGAATGCTTGATTCCAACGGAAAAACCGGTAATAGGATAATGGGTAGTAAGAATCATCCTCTTATTTATCTTTTTCACACAAATAACTTCTAAACGGCTGAACCGATTATTTTGAAATTTCATATAGGTATATGGATGGTTTTTTAGATGATTTGAAAATACAATTGGACACGGTAGGTGACGCAGCTGTTGGTACGGCCTGACCGATTTGCTTGAAATTTTGAATACGTAAAACAACAACAGGAATACAAAAAATACCGAGAGAATGAAAATAGGTGCAAGTAAGTATATATTACTAGCTGTAGGTGAGAACAAAGAAAATGAAAAAATTAACAAGCAAATTATAGGGAATGGAGATGATATATTGAAAAGAAGTTCAGAATCAAATAGGTACTCATCTAGTCTATTTTTGTTTTTTTCAATCAATCAACTTTATTATTCCCAAGAAACAACATTTGTTTATAGCAGGGAATATAGTGAATACATAAATATATTTGACAAAATGAAATAAAGAAGACAGAAAAATAAGACTCACACTCAAAAAGAATCTTTTTTTTTTCAAGTTCAAATGAATATGATCCTCAATTGACTCAGCAGCTGTTAGGTACACAATTGAAAACTATAGTAGTTGTACAAGAAAACTATAAAAATGAGATAAGATGTCAATATTACAGGAGTAGATGTTTCTTGAATTCTCTTTTGAATTTATGTGTTCAAAATGTGAATTGAACCCCCTGTAACAGGAAAACTGTCAATTTTTCAGGAATGTCATGTTATTTTCTGATCAGTATCATATAGAGTACATCATATCAAAAATTCAGCGAAATCCACCGAACTTTTTTTTCATAGGCGCCTCCCATTCGGTGAGGGGCAATAATACTGTTATATATATTATTATTTAGGAACCTATGGTATAAGAAAAATAGGAGGATCTGTGGTTGTTGATTGTCAGAGATTGTCAAATAAAGATTTACATGAAAATACGAGTTTTGAAAATAAATAATAATAATTATAACATGGCGCAGTCGATGCAGTAAGAACCTTCGGAAGAAATATTGACTATGGCTTTAAATTTCAATATTCCACCACCACTCCAGCTGTATGGAAATTTGAAGGAAAATTGGTTAAGTTTCAAACAAGCTTTTCAAATATATCTTGTCGCACCTGCTTTCGATAAAGAAACGTAAGAAAGGCAAGTAGCAATATTTCTGAATGTTGTTGGACAAGAATCAGTGAAGTTATTCAATTCATTGAAGTTGGAGGACGAGGAGAAGAAAGACATAGATGAAGTTTTGAAAGCATTTGAAGAGTACTGTTCACCAAGAAGAAATATACTTCATTCAAGATTCCTTTTCTACAGTAGAAAACATGATGAAATGGAACCATTTGATTCATACCTAATGGACATAAGGAGGTTGTGTCAAGATTGTGAATTCAAAGATCCAGATGATATGCTCAGGGACAAAGTGGTTCTGGATTCAAGAGATCGTGAATCACAACAAAAGCTAATAAAGAAAGGGTCAGTTACTTTAAAAGAAGCTATAGACACAATTAGATTAGCTGAATTAGTAAGAAAACAAACAAAGGAAATTCAAACTTCAGAAATCAACAGAATAGAGAAGCAAGTAACACCAACAAAGAAAGAAGAAAATGAAAATTCCAATCAGTCGGGGATGAACATCAGCAAATCATACAGGAATACGGAAAACACCAATTATTTCAAGAAACCACAAAGTAATTATCACTCTTCGCGAAAATGTTTCAGGTGTGGATTATCCCATAAATATAAACAATGCCCAGCCTTTGGAACAAAATGTAAGAAGTGTAATTATATGAATCATTTCAGTTCTGTATGTAAGAATATAAATGAAATAACTTCAGAGCAAACAATCCCAGAAATTGAAGATGATTCATATAATCATTCTGATGAAAATGACTATTACTGTAGTTCAGTTGAAATGAATTCTAATGATTATTGGAATGTTACTTTGACAGTTGAAAATGTAGATATCAAATTCAAAATTGATACAGGGGC